GGTGGTAGTATTAAAACAAATAGTTAGCACTTTGCGACACACACTCATTTTAAATAGAAATACTTAGGTTTCTTGTCCATTAAAAACAGAAGTGTATTCACAGCTATAAATTCCCTCTGCCAACTTTTGGTTTTACTGCTATTATTTCTCTATGATTTTTAATTACGTGTGTCCCTCTGAATCAATGTCAATGTTATCCAAGTCTTTTGAAACAAATGGTACTGTCCCAAATCACACGTGGTGTTCAAATGGCACAAATTGTCTGAAGACAATGCCTTTCCTGCAGGTAGGAGAGGAAGGTGCTGAAGAGTGCCAGTCCCAATCTGTTTTCCTAATGGTATTTGTCCTTCATCCCTAAACATTTGGTGCTAATAAGCACAGGTCAAGTGATGGGTACATTTCGATCCGCACTTTCGTTATTAATTTTCGGCATCCAACCGCTTTTGTAAACAAAATAAGTGCAAATTTATTATAAAGAAGAAAACCATCTTCACAGATTTGGAGCTACTATATCAATAAAGTCACATTTGCCCTTTGCCTGACATTCTGCTATTTAAGCAGAATCGTATTACTCTGGTGTGAGACTAGATGAAGAAAGACATGGCAAAGGTGACCGCTTTCCTATAATTGCTGGTCAGCAGTGCTGCAGAAACAATGACAAACAGCTGAATAACGTGGAAAATAATTCTTCCAGCATTATGCACTCTTGATTTGCAAAAAGCATGCTACTATTTTTTTTTTTAAAAAAGGTACTCTTTTGAGAATAGAGGCCTGTTAGTTTTGACTGTTTCCAATAAACCAAAGGCATTATGGTGATCTCTAAATATTTTTGGTCTCTACAAATTGTCATTATTATGGCAGCACTTTTCTAAGCTGGAATTTCAAAACCAAAGGCACTTGCACGCAAGAGTGCAGAGAGTCACAAAGTTTAAAGTATTTGGTCAGGAGAATTTAAGAAGGCATCATTATTCACACAATTCTCTTTCTGCAGAAAATTCTAGAGCTGCTACCATTTCATTTTGGTATAGGTATTCCAACCACGGGAAAAGGGGATGGGGGCTGACTGCTTGCTATAGGGAGGCATCTTAGACCAAGTAGTCAAAAGGCTTCTCTCGAGGAGATTTTTTTTAAAAAAAGTAAGCCAATTAATAGACTAGATTAAGATTAGCATGATAAGCTAAAAGATAGTTCTAAAATAGCACTAAGGCACTGCATATTGTGATGCTTTGGCAGCTCAGAATCAAGAAGTTCCTGCAACGAAGTAATGGTAACAAAAGAGAGAGAGAGAGATGCTTCCAGCTTACAAAAGAGCTCACAGTTTACAGGCAGCCTTGTTGGACTACACAACTCACACTAAACATGAGACAGACTTAAGGCTTTCCAGAAGAAACACGCACAGGGCTTGAATCATTTACATCCATGTAAAGTTAATGACAAGGCAAACAGTTCCCCACACGTTTCACAGAAATGAAAAGTTGTGACTCTTCAAACCGTGTAGTTATTACATACATAGTGTCACAGACTAGAACAGAGAGAAGTGTACCTGGTTAACAAACTGACTGCTTTATATGCTTCAAGGAGTAGCCTTGAGGTGTGTTATTTTTCTAACATTTAAAAGCTTTCTTCTTTTTTTAAAAAATAAAATCCATCAAAACTAAAAGCCTCATAAAAGATAACATTTTTAAAAGAGAGAGAGAGAGAGAGAGAGTAGATGTAAACTTGTGACACCAAGTGCTTCAAATAAAGGGCTACTTTAGATAAGTAAGATGCAGTGCTTACATCAAATTCATTGTTATTTTTAAACACTTATGAAGAGACCCAGCCAGAAGCCTCCAGTTCTACAGTTCACAGAGTTCAAATGACTGGGATCACAATCCGACGCATACCTACTGAGAAGAGAAACTCACTGGATTCAATAGGACTTGTACAGGATTGCAGCCCTAGGAGGTTCATCTGTTTTAATATCTATAGGTGAAAAGATAGTGGCGCAGAAGAAGGCTCTAAGATTCAGTGCTACACTTGACCTTGCATTCTTCCACTATCATTTCCCTTACTGTGGGAAAGCAAACCTGGAGCCTAAACACATGCACTTTTCATCACCCTGATGCACTGCACTCTGTCTTTTCAGGTATTGCCCATATTACTGCAGGAAGTCCCACAATGGGCCCAGTGTGGTTATAAAGAGAAGACTGCATGCAGTGGGCTACACCATGTAGTATTCCAGATGTTAAATTTACCACAGTCAGCCCTCTTCTGACAAATGGAGGCAAAAGAAGATGGCCCCTTTCAATTTTATGATTCTGTAATTCTATGTCTTGGCTCATTTAAGTAGAAAAACAGGACGTTTGTTCTAACCCCTTCCTCTAATCTTCAGATTTCAAACTGTGAAGGATTTTCATGGTCTCAAGATGGACAAGGAGGGGGAATTATGTGGTCCCCCTCTACTTTTTAACACCCTGCACCTTTGTTACCCAATAAGAAGTGGATTTTGGCCATCTCCAGGTCCCCCCTACTCATTTTATTAAGTCCAGCATGGCCTCAAGTAGGTCCTGGGGTAGAGTCCCTTCAGATATCTAGGTCTTCCCCATCCAATTTAGGTAGAGATAACGTCCAATAGTCTGCTTAGCATGTTACAAATCTGAATTATTCAAAGCAGCGCTCTGAAAATAATTGCAAGTATGCATCAAACAATATTCCTAAGTATATTAACTACCAGTGTCCCAGTTGCAGTCGGGGTTGGGAGTACGTTCAGAACTCCATCCTATCAAGTCACCAAATTATGAAGGCTCAAAACACGAGCCTGGAAGGAAAAATACAGATGATTAGAAGGGGAATTATGAAGCAGGATTGCTGCAGTCCTAACTTGCTACACCCTGAAAGTCTCTCTCAGACACTTTTTTTTACAAGTGAAAAAACTAGGTATATTTAAATTACATAGATTGTGCCAGAGATTGGGATACATGTCAATACTTAAACCCAACTGGGCTTTTCAAAAAGGGTCATGTGAAAGACAGAAGGCAGTGTTCAAATTACACAAATTGAGAGGCACGGCACTTGTGTAAAGCACATACGTACAGACTTATGACTATGTAGTGCTCACAATTTAACATTTACTGCTACAGATTTAATCGATCCTGGAATCCTATACATACCGACGTTGAAGTTGGTATGTCCCAATCAACATGTGCAAGATGACACAATAAGCCACTCCGTAGCCTTAATTATATACACACATATTTATGAAAACTGCCCCTGAAATAAATTCCTCTGTAAGTGATTTGCCAAATAAATGATGAAGAGTGATCTGTTCCCATTCTGGCAGTCTAGCAGACATGGAAGTGAACAGGAGAGACAGACAGACAGAGAAGGGGCAGCTCTCCCTGCCAAAGACCATCTAGCCCATTTTTATTAGCACCAAAAGACCGAGAAATAAAAGGACTGATCTGCTAGGACAATGCTGCACAAAGTCCAGAAAACAGCTAGGAATTGATCACATGGTGTGAAGTTTGAAGCTCCATGGTCTGAAGTTTTACAACATCAGAATCTTTGAGGCACTAGGGAAGAAAACCTGTACAATTTCTGATCTTCCAAGCCACATGCAGTGCACCAACATATGTTGGGATCTACAAATCTCTTGATAATACTCCTCTTTTTGAATTTCAGATAAGCAAAAAGAACAGGAAGGTTTACTGAAAAGTTGGATTATAGGCAGAATTTGAAAAAAGTTACTTTTGAGGGACTACAACTCCCAGAATCCTCTGCTGGGATATTTTGGGAGTTGCGGTATTTTTAAAAAGTAATTTTTCCAAGCTTTGGTTACAGCTTGCTGATTGAACACTTGTTTTGCAGGCAGAAATTTCAGTCCCCAGCATCTCCAAAGAGCATTGGGAAAGAACCTTGCCTGCACCCCTGTAGAGCTGATTAAACAGTGCAGAAAATACAGTCCTAGGTCCCTAAAGATATAATCCAGTACAGTGATATGACAGTGGAACCAGTGACCTCGGGAACTGGTGAGTGCTCCAACACTGGAGACATTCAAGAAAAACTTAGATAATCATCTGGCAGATATGCTTTGATTGTATTCCTGCATTGAGCAGGGGGTTGGACTTGATGGCCTTGCAGGTCCCTTTCAACTTCACTTTTCTATGATTCTATGATTCTGTGATCCAGCTTTATATGTTCCTCAAGCCTCAGAGGGACCAGTATCATCAGGCTGTGTTTAGTTTGGCATATCCCAGCTTGTACAAGGTCACCATTTGTAACAAAACAAAAAACAAAGTCACAGGTGATGTTTGTATCTGCTTAATTTTTTTAAAGACGTTAAAACAGATGAACCTTTTTCTTGTGTCCTGTTCTATCCTCAACCACAGTTCTTTTGGTGGTTTTTCAGGTGACACAATTGTAAAACAGCACTTGGATTTTCCCCTCTTTCATTTGCCATTTCCTAATCTTGGTGTTGTAATTTCTCAAGTTGTTGTAAAAAAAAGAGAGAGAAAGAAAAAGAAAGAAATTTTTTTTTCTCATACAATATATAACCACACACACAAGATTACATACACCATAAGTCTAATTTTTCAGTATTTAACTAGTTATTGCAAAACGAGCCATCTTTTTAATTAAATAATCAAATATCCTTATTAGTATAATATCGTCTGTCTTTTTAATGCACTAAATAGAATTAGTAAAAGGGAGAAAGTTTTCTCGCTTTGCAATACCTGCTCGACAAGTTTAATGGATTAGAAGGTTAGTTTTAATAAAGAGAGAAGTGGGGGGGGGACATTATTTTGCCTACTTTTAGGACCTGTCTGCTCCCATCAGGCATTTCTTAAGGCGAAGTTTGTCATTTGGCTTCAAACAGAAATTGAGTTGAAGTTATAAAATAATTTAGTGAATTACATTCGTCTGCATCTTCCACAGTAATCTGTTACGAAGATAATTCTAAAAAGAATTTGTGTGCTAATTTATGCTTATAGTTTAAATTCATTTCAATTTCACTTGCATCTTAAAAACACATTTTTATTAATTCAGACAAACACCTCATAAACTCTTATAATTGCTGTTACGTTTTCCCATGGCAAATGCTCTGTCTTATATTTTTCCAACACAATAATAAAAATTAAAACTTCCACAAAGGTCCTGAAAATTTTAAATATAGTCTCCTTAAAGAACTGTGTTTTTTAAAAAATAAAACTGAAGAACACTTTTAGAAAGAATTTGTACAACTGTACCAGAATTTCACAGCTATAATATATAACTGACACACTAAAACGAGGTTTAGAAAAAAAATGTTGAGGAAAGCTCAGCCAGAGGAACTGCCACTTAGTGTTGAGGTTGACAGTCTTGTGTTTTTTATAAGGAGTTATAATGAAATGTGTCTATAAATAATTGTTCAGTCCTTCACAAGCCTGTAGATGTGATGCTGTGCACCATGTTCGCTGTTTGAAACTTCAAATACACAAGCCATGCAAAGTAGGGTTTCTTGTGTGTCCCTGTTTGTTACAACCTGTTTATGTTTAAATGTTAAAAAAAGTGGGAAAGAAAGAAAGAAAACACCATGTTAGAAACTTGACTATTGGCTGTCATAGGTTCAACAGCAAAATATTCAAAAGGATTACAAGATGTATGAGAATCTCAGGTATAAATATGCATACCGTTCCTAACTGCCACAGTCTCTTGATATGTCTCTCATAACTTGAATTTTCTAACAGGGACAGCAGTAATAGAAATATGAGTACTTTTTCTCTTTTGGACCTACAATCAGAGGTGGGTAGAATGGTATACTTCTGCTCTATGAAAAGGACCAAGTTTTTAATACCTGGTGGGTTCTGCGTAAATTAGTTATCAAATTTCTAAATGTCAGGATAAAACAGATTCTGCAAGTATGTTATTCTTGTACCATTTTTTAAATGCATCTCAATATCAAGGAGGTGAGGGAAGGAAGGAAGGAAGGAAGGAAGGAAGGAAGGAAGGAAGGAAGGAGTGTTATTCCAGAATAGGAGCAGAGTACATTAAGGGGGTGAACCAAAGACAGGAAAGGGATAGAACAAAGAAAAGAAAGAAATGGGCAGACCCTGTACCCTGATTTTGTTGGCATCACTCAAGAACTGTTATGGGTTGGCTATTTGTGGTATCCCATCCAATGCTAAACAGGGGTGGCAAAGATTGTTGGGCTCATCTTAGAAGTATTGGCCTAAACCAAATTGTTAGGCTGACCTAAAGTAGATCAGCTGAATCAATGAAATTTATGTAAGAAAGTAAAACTTCAGCAAGTTTTTGTTGCATCAGTAGATTGATTCTCGTTAGGAAACTTGATCTCTGCCCCTGAACTCTGCATGGGATCTGTAACTGAATGTTGCGCAGTGTCGGAAGAAAATCCTACCAAATTTCATTCCTAACCCTTGCAATTGGAACCAAATTGAAACTGACCTGTTCCCAAAGTATTAAAGAAAAGAAACAGCGAATAAAGGTTAAAGTTACCAATAAAATAGTGAAGTTTTCCAACACACTGTTCATCATATATTTCTCCGGTAAATGCTTGAGCTTGTGGATGAAATTGATCATATATTCACACATTGGGGAGCGGTTTATTCTAAACACAAACCGGCCATTCTCAAACCGTGCATATTCAGTCTTTGGAAGGAAAAAACAGAAACGTAGTTCAGAAGCTTAATAACCAAACTGTATCCCAATAAATTTCTCTTATTATTATTATTGCTTTTAGAGTGATTCATTGATTAATTACATAAAATACATATTATTTACTTAAGAGTACATATTTTTGTTCAACTTGAAGATACATATTGTTAAAATATGAGGTCCTCAAAAAGAGCACAACGGAAAATATGTTTTTAGTACATTACAATTGTCTCTTCAGACGAACACCAAAGATAGTTACTTGCAACCTGTTGCATAGCAGAAGATGATGTCACTGGCAGATTGCTGCTAACTAAAGAGTCCTTGCTTGGATTTTGCATTGTGTGTGCCTCATGCACCATGGGATGAAGTCATGCATAACCTGAAACTTATTCATTCACATTCATCTGCTGCTGGTGGTAACGTCATTCCCGTTGTGCAAATGGCAGGGAAACATACATGCATGCAATAAAAGTGATATGTAAGGTTCTGTTACTTTGGATGAAGTCCAACAGTAGATCACAACTAGAGTAGGTCCACTGAATCGGAGGGGACTTGGTGCGTCAACTATCCTATAAATTCAATTGATTCAATGGGCCTAATTCAGATATGGCTTAATACTCAATTTCAGCCACAGTATGCAAACTCCTGCCATGCACAATATGAGACATGTCACACAGTAGATTCATTTAAGGATTTGCTTGTGAACTCAGTGAAGAATACTTCCCTAATCAGAGAAGATTCAATGTGTCAGGACTGGATAGTCTCTTCCCAATAATCCAAAAAAAAAAAAAAAAAAAAAAAAAAAAAAGGCATTCAAGCACTCAAAGCAGATGCACACAGGTTTGTGTGTAGTATACTATTCTGTATTAATACAACTGCAAGCTCACTAGCCCAAAATGAAATAACACGTAAAGAAGCATATAATCTATAAGAAAACACTTATTGTATTATAGAAAACTGAGCTATGATCCAAGCAACTGTTGGAAAAAAAAAAAAAAAAAAAAAAAAGGCATTCAAGCACTCAAAGCAGATGCACACAGGTTTGTGTGTAGTATACTATTCTGTATTAATACAACTGCAAGCTCACTAGCCCAAAATGAAATAACACGTAAAGAAGCATATAATCTATAAGAAAACACTTATTGTATTATAGAAAACTGAGCTATGATCCAAGCAACTGTTGGAAATTCTTACCTCTACTTTTTCTACCACTTGCTTCCCAAATGAGCAGACTTTGGTAGAACAGGTGATTGTCATATTTTCTGAGCTTTCATACTGACTAGTTACACCATAGAATGCTCCTGTTTCATCTTGGATGTTGCAATTTAAGTCTGCCTGTAGGAAGAAATAACAGATACATTCTCAGCTTCCTGCATCATTGTGAGAAAGAATTAATTATTATATCACCATACATGAAATATAAATGGGAGCCACTGTATATTTTGACAGTCCATTTTTCAAATAGGGGGAAAGATGTAAGGGTTAGGGTACATTTTATTCTTTTACCAGTTCAATCCGTATACAGAATATAACATACAGAAACCTGGACTAGATTCAGATGGAGGAGTGAAAATTGGTGGAAGAAACATCAGTAATGTAAGATATGCAGATGATACCATCTTACTGTCGGAAAGGAGCTATAACTTGGAATGACTTTTAAATTTTAGAACAGGGATAGGCAAAAATCCTCCATTCTTAGTTTACCTTAGACAACTGCTTTCCCAGAACTGCTCCTTTCTTGGGGACATCAATAGGCAGGTTTACTTGCACTTCCATAGGTGCTACTCTAGAGGATGTTGATTCCTTTCTTCTTCCTATTATTCCTTACCAGGGCAGGGGACTATCCTTTCTGAATTCAGAGATAAGGGAATCAATTGTGTAATCCTTTGCGCCTGGGGGTAGAGTTTCACTTAACTAGGCCTTATTTTGGGGGTAGGGCTTATATTATGAGCATCCTGAAAAATCAAACTAGGGCTTATTTTTGGGGTTAGGTCTTATTTTCGGGGAAACAGGATATAATCTTGGAGTAACTTAAAGAGGACTGATCCATTTTATACTTTCCACTTTAATTTTAATGCTAACCTCCAGTGTTTACTTGAGGGTAAAGCTGAGATAGCAAACTCCCATTTGCCCAATAGGTACATTCTTTTTAGTGAGAGTGTAGTGAAGGCAACACCTGTAGTCCTCAGAGGTTCAGTGACATCATCAATTTCTGTCTATCCCGTTGAAATAAGCAAATGTGTGTTTTAACAGGTAAGCTAAACTTTAAAAGAAATTATTCTTAAAAGTTATTTTCAAAAGACTTTCAGGGGCTTTCAACTCTTGCTTTCTAGGCAATGCTTATCTCTTGCATTCCTTACCTTTTCTAACGCAGTTGTTTATCTCCCACAATAGTTGTTTATCTCACACTTACTACTACTACTACTATTACCACCACCACCACCTCAAAATCTTATCTTCATGAAATGAAGCTTCTTGCTGTTTATAGTACTGATGGGCAATTCACTCCCCCCTCCGTCCTAATATTTGTATTCCTCAGTTGTGTGGATGTTCCAAATTTCCAGCAAATCTCAGCTTCTCAGAGCAGAGGAGCCAACAACAGCTTGTTGAGGCTTGGCTCCCTTCCACTTGAGGTGAGGCAGAAAATTGTGAAGGAGTTCACTGCAAGGCAAGATTTGACAATTCTCCATAGCAACCCTCTATTTTACATATTAAGATTGTCAACTATTTGACATAATGTATCAAAAAGGGCCTTGCCGAAGACCCACAAGGTGCACCAAACCAGAGCTGGCCGCAAACAAGGACACTTATCCACTCCAGATGGATAAGTGTCCTCAGTCTTCAGGGAAGGATGGAGGCAGCCGGCTTCTGTTATAGGAGCTTTGGTGGCGGCTGTTGTCAAAAAACAGAACAGCAAATGCAGGAAGATTATTAAAACCTCGCTACCACAAAGGGGAGGAAAAAAGTAGCAACACAGAGGAGGTTTTCCTGAGGGAGCAGCGTAATTAAGACACAAATATTCAGTAGGTGAAACTGAACACGGAGGGTCACTTGTTAAACAGCACAGAGGCTTCCTTCAATTACCACAGAACGCAATGGGGAGATGTTCAGATGAGCACATTTACACCTCCCCTCCTCCTCAGTGAACAATGATCAAAGGGCAGAGATTCCAAATTGTGAAGCATTTTTTTTCCCAACAACAGCATCTGGATCTTTGGCAGACTTCACTGCCAGTTGTGTGCTACAGCTTTGGAATCGCTTCCAGATCTGCCACATGGCTAAGCTTTAGATGGCCAGGCCAAGCTACTCTACTTTCCAGCTGCCCTCTAACTCATTCAGGCAAACTAACACATTCACTCTAAGCTGGGAATGAGTTTTTGCAGTCGTGCCATGAAGATCACTGCACAGAAAGGCTCCTTTCTGAGGGGAATACAGGATGAAGCAGACGGAATGGGTTTCGTCCAGTTGAAATGTGTCAGAAAAACTGGCTACAGATGATCAGTCCATATCGTCAATCTTGTCTCCCACTGAAGCTTGCTTGTCAAGTTTCATTCTGTTATGCAATAAAGATCGCACTGAAGAAGGAGAAACATTATAATAGCTTTTTTGTGAATGAAGGAGACAAAGAATCTACACGTCTCTAAAGACTGCAGCAGCAGACACCCATGAGGGACGTGGGAGGAGACCATGTGGCAGGGCGCTTTCTGAACACTAACTACACTGCATTCATTATTTGTTAACAGTGCCTGACAAAGAAACAGCATTATATTTTTCAGGTCACAGCTATTTTACATAATAAGAATAGGAATAAACTTAACCACCCAACTCATGTTACTTTACCACTAATTATGGCATATATTTACATCCATAAAATAGGAGAGATTTTTGGACATGATTTAATGCCCTTTTATTGTGCAGATTCCTTTATTTCCATTTCACATTTGAATTTCAAAAATGCTTTGGACTTCAAAGCATCTTTTTAAAAAGACTGCACTAATTACAGTATGCATTATTTTCTGGAAGTGCTTGTTTGCATTGCAGATTCCTGAAAAGATAGGTATTCATTAAAACATACTTGTTAATATCACCCGTGCTTCTTAGGAGAGTTTTGTTCTCCATTTCACATGAGTGCTCAAACAAACAGATATGTTTGCATCAGTATAAAGTATTCCTGCAATTATATAACACTGTAACAGTGTATGAGTGTTCCCATCTTTAAATGTTCTACTATTTTCAAAGGAAATTACTCTTATGTAAATATGGATAGGAGTGAAATTTAAGACACTACTAACACATACATGAAAATGATCCATCCTTCTAGAAAAGGTTTGTGCCTTGTTCCATTTCATTATAAGACAAAATGTGTATGATGGATGTGCTTCAGAAGTCTGCAGTCTAAGAAGAATTAGGCCCCTTCAGATTAGTTACAAGACAAAGTGAGTGTTGCACTAAAGTCAAAAGAACTGAATCTGGGGGAAAGTTTTCCATCTCTATTTTGAAAGCCTTTAACAGTTTCTGAGCATTAGAAGCTAGCACATTCAGCTAGTCCTCCAAAATCTTGCAGTTTTCTTCCCCAGGGACACCTCTATGTCATATTTGTACAAGTTGCCCCCAAAAAAGCCACAGTGAAGAAGAAGCAAGCCACCACTCCATGAAGTGTTAGGTAGGTCTTCCTTTCCACATGTATTCTTACATCTAATCTTCTACAACTTTTCAGATCTGTTATTCATTCTCAGAACGGTCAACATAGAGAATAAAGGAATAAGCATATATTTTGTTGGAATTCCCCAGGACACGCTATTTTGACTCCTCTTGCAGTCCATGATCAGTCATGGTGGCGTGACCAATTCTGCCATCAGTACTTGCTTATTCACATCAAGGTTTGCCCACCAAAGGAGAAATGTCTGTGTGATAGCATAACCAGGCAAACTCCTAGCCACAGCATACTTTTCTTGACCAAACATCAGGACAAACAAGAGGAATAATCCTGTGGTGATAAATTCTCTATAGGCTGGTTTCAGTGTTCCTCTTTCAGCTGAATGGATCCCATGTCTCGGGGTGCCATTACCTTTCTTCTCCCTACTAGCAAACCACAGCCCAGAAATTACTGGTACAGCATAATTCCCCAGTGGTTGAACTGAGCTTGTATATTATGCCAAAACATGTTATGTCCAAACCAATTCTGCACACAATGCTTGTAGTGGGGCCTTGTGATGTTTCTGTTTTTCCCCACAGCTTTTGCTCCAAAACATATCCTCTTGGAATTATTTTGGAGCTTATCTCTCAAGTCTTTATTATTTTTATCCACTTTACAGAACAAGCTAGAGACTACTAGGTGTCTGAAGGTGGAAGCCAGAACCATATGCCAACCATTGTGATAAACTGTAATGACTACCTAGAGCTGTAGATGAAGACAAACTTACAGACCTCTCCACATATTCAGAAAACTGTTCACACCTGGTTTGCAGTAGGACAACATGATTATAAACAACTTTGTCCTACTTCTTACATGAGGTGAATATCATGTCTAGATGGCACAGACATGTGTTGTGCCTATTTAGAGCTGTAACTAGCAATCGGCACCTGCCCAGGGCTTTTCCTACCCTATTGGCTAAGCCTGAGTCATGAGGGGATGGCATATGCAGGGATGACAGAGGAATGAGGTCTTAGTACCTGACAGTCATGCTAGTACAACGCTGGACCCACCTGCTTTGTATGTTGTCCTGCCTAGGGAGAAGGGGCTGTAGACCGGTAGTTTAAGGTGTCTGAGGAAGTGGATTTCTCCACAGAAGCTCACATTAAAATATAGCAGTCAGTCTTTAAAGTGCCACAACATTTTTGCCTTCTTTATTATTATTTTTCATTTTCTTTTGCCTGATAAGTTGGACATGTTTGTGCCCTTCCACTAGCAAACTGCAACACACCGGCTTGCATTCTTCTAGCAGCTAATATTGGTGTCTTTTAAATGCTGACACCTTGGGTCAAAGCCAGGGTCACATAGCCCCAGCTACAGCACTGTGTTCCATATAATCAGAACTGGAATGAAATGCAGGGCACCGCACATTTCAGACCTCTAAATTTTATTCTACACATTAGTGCTGTCTCTTTATCAGCCCAGGCTTTATTTGTTCAGAGTGCTGAAGGCTCACCTCCTGTTGGAGAGTTTTCAAGCATTTATAAGCAGCTAATCTTTCCTGCTAACCCTCCTCAAACTGCTAAAGGAAATCAGCCACAACAGAAGAACAAACAAGTAGCTCCTCAATCCCTGACACCATTACTCATCAGAGGGAAAGCATGGAGTAAGGGACCACAGGAAGGGAGCTTTAGGCTTAACAGTTAGAGGCAGGCTCTGATATGCAGCAAGCAGTCAGGCTCTGGGATGCTGGTGAGCAACGTACAGCTGATAGGCCACCTGTGGCTCCCAGAGTCTCCATTTTGGCACCCATCATCTCCTGCCTGTCAGAAATATAATTAGAAAAACAACACCAGCCAGAAATGGCCAACAGAGCCCTCTAAGGAGAGAGAGTGGCTGGGATATTCCGCCCCCAACCCCCGCCATCTACACCCGATTTAGATCCACAAGGGTCTTTCTCCAAAACCGGAAGAGACTGGCCAGTTCAGGTGCAGGTATGTAAGGGGTAGGGGGGGATGAACTGAAATGGTCAGTCACCCTCCCTAGTCTCGCCCATCTGGTATATCATACCACTCTTCAGGTGCAGGTATGTAGGGGGTGGGGGGGATGAACTGAAATGGTCAGTCACCCTCCCTAGGGGGTACCATTGACTATCTCCCAAATAAAAAAACATAAGAGGCGTTGGACAGTAGGAGGAGAGATTGGAGAGGGGGTTGTAGCTCTCTAGGTCCCAGGGGAGTGAATGTGACCACTCCCACCTTCAAGGTGCCTGAAAGTTACTCATCCCTGCTCTAATATGTTATGGCAAATGTATCCAACAGAAGAAGAGGCCCGATAGCTAAGGCTGGAGTAGACACAACTGTGCTGCCTCCATTCAGTGTCCTTATTTGCTGAATGCACAAACAGTCTTTATAGGGCCATGCCACATTAGAGAAACAACGAAAGCAGGGAGTGGATGGGTGGCCTCATACCTCAATTCCATGACCTTGTTCATGTCCTAGCAATGGATTACGATGCTTTCCTGATCGTCACCATTATTTCCTGCCCCCCCCCATTTCTGATATATCATTCATCTTCCAAATAGTTTATGTATATAGTTTTTAATATATTACGGATTAACCCCCTGGGTTGTACTATTACATTAATAAAAAGCACAACACACATGTTGGTTACATTTAAATGCTATGATGGAAACACAGGATTATGGCAGAGTCATTGGTGGCATTTTCAGCACACTAAGCCAGAGAGTTTCTGCTCTACTGTCTAAAATATTCAGCATTCCTTATGTCTGACACTAGATGGCAGCTTACCAACTGTTTCGGCAGAGTGTTTTGTGAAGTAAGCAAAAATGCTGACACACAATAATAGTAACAGCAGTGTGGTCTTGTTAAACTAGATTTACATTAACTTTTACATGACTAGCATACATCAAGGATACAGCTATAAAATGTTTTGCTAAGAAACATGCTAAAAGTAGCTCCAAACTTACCCAGGAGCTGGTAAGATTGAAAACTATACTGTTTTGAAAACAGTACCATTCTGAAATAAAAGAATGAACTAATATTCTGCCTAAAAGTCTGAACAAGATTACTATTTTGAAATTATCTTAAAATAACAGTACTTGCTGAATAACTGAATCTGGATAGATATTACAACAATTTGGAGTTAATAGCTGCAAAGACTGAAAGTGTATTTATTAAATTAAATGGGTATCCATGTTCAGGTATGACACCTGATGAAAAAACATTCTTTGACACATCAAAACATAACCCCCCACCTCAAATCTGTTAATTGCTGCAAGGTTTTTCAGATATGCATGAGAGTAAGAAGACTAGGCCAGCAGCAAAACAAAACTTGGGGTTTCCACAAAAGCCTTACATTTTTTTTAAGAAAGAAATCTATTATGTGCACAATACATTTTGGCACAAAAAAACACTTCAGAAATCTTTCCCAAAAAGATCCCCAAATATGAAAAACGTACAAAATGTCTTGCAGTCTTGCCCAGCAGCAATAGTTTGTTTTTTTGCCTGTGAGAATGAATAAATGTTTATTTGTAATTATTGGTTAAGATAACCCTTTAAAGTCCTAAGAGGCTTAGGACTGGGTACCTAATACATGTGCAGAAGCAAATTCCATATTTAAGTATGTGTTTTTTTAAGCATTTGCATTTTGTCCACCCTGAAGTCACTGATGTCTGTTCAGTGGATGACCCAGGTTGCTAGAATTCATAAGAGAAAAGTGTTCTTCCATTCACTCCAGCAAAGAAAATATTTTCACACTGAGAAAAGAACACACAGAATGTTTTTTAAAAATGAACAAATACATTAAAGGTCTTACTCACCCAAAACTTTACTAGGAAGAAGGCATTCTGAGGCCCTTTTCCAAACAGCTCCTTCAAACCACCTTTCTTTTCAGGGAATTTGTCATAAATCTGACGAATGTCCACTGATTCCAGCAATGGATCACTGTAAGAATGGTTGGCATGCCCAATATGTACGAAGAGGTGTTTGTTATACTATGAAGTGAAGAAACAAAAGGCAATAGAACAATAATCAACTGATGTAAACAGAAGATTTAAGACTGCAGCAACATTCTTTTAAAAAAAACAAGCAAAAAGATAAATTAAAAGAACAGGAAGTCATCCATAGGTATACAGCACAAGTTCCCAAGCTCCCCAAATGCAGAACATCAATAATGAAAGCAGGAAAAAGAAATGGACACACACAGCTTACTCTATTACTGCCGTTTTTAGCTGACTGAATGGGTGGAAGTCTTTTAATATGTGATAAGTAAAACTTGAATCCAGGAGTTTCAGTGCAATATGTAACACCCCTGCTCTGAACATGCCATATTGCTCACCACATGCATGGACCCTTGGAGGAAGAAGGAAGACCCCTAAAAGTGTATCTGCCCCACATCTCAAGCCATCTCGGTGTCTTGGACAAGGTTAAAGAAAATAACATAATGTTATTTTCATTAACCTTATCCAACTAGTGGGCTGGTAATGAAATGAAATGAGTGAGTGAGTGAGTGAGTGAGTGAGTGAGTGAGTGAGTGAGTGAATGAATGAATGAATGAATGAATGAATGAATGAATGAATGAATGAATGAATGAATGCCATGCACTATTCTGGGCAGTTGACAAACTAAAATCAAACAATCACAAACATCAAATAAAACAATAATGTAAACCAAAGTAAAATAAATATTTCATGTACAAACACCAAGATAATGGGGTATTTCATAATAAATTGATAAAACGGCAGGACAATGGTAGAAAAATTAAATGATAATGCTGTCAAATACATCCATAAAGAGGACTGTCTTAAGTATGCTTTTAAACATTAGTTTTAACCTAATCTAGCCTAACCTAACCTAGCCTAACCTAACCTAGGGACACGGTGGCCCTGCGGGTTAAACCGCAGAAGCCTCTGTGCTGCAAGGTCAGAAGACATGCAGTAATAAGATCGAATCCATGCCACGGGGTGAGTCCCTGTCACTTGTCCCAGCTCCTGCCAACCTAGTGGTTCAAAAGCATGCAAAATGCGAGTAGATAAATAGGTACCACCACAGTGGGAAGGTAACGGCGTTCCGTGTCTAGTCGTGCTGGCCACGTGACCATGGAAGATTGTCTTCGGACAAAATGTTAGCTCTATGGGTTGGAAACGGAGATGAGCACCGCCCCCTAGAGTCGGACATGACTGGACATTTGTCAAGGGGAGCCTTTATCTTTACCTAACCTAACCTAAATGAGACTATACTAAACTTCCAAACTATTTGAGACACCTTTACCTAGTATGTTATTTATTTAGAAATCCTATCTTAGGACTTGTGAAATGTTCAAAACCAGATTTAACACTTACCGTGTTTTCCCGAAAATAACACAGGGTCTTATATTAATATTTACTCCAAAGAACGCATCAGGAAATGAATGAATGAATGAATGAATGAATGAATGAATGAATCAACGTGTTTTCTTTATTCAAATACGGTCATGTCATCTTCTTCTGTTTGCTGCACAATGGTGGAGGAGAGGGTTTTCACTTAACTGGGGCTTATTTTTGGGGTAGGGCTTATATTACGAGCACCCTGAAAAATCATACTAGGGCTTATTATCAGGTTAGGTCTTATTTTCGGGGAAACAGGGTAGAAATCAAGAAGTGCCAAAATAGATGAATCTCTGCCCTGAAAGAGTTCACTGTGCTACCAATCTTACAAATTATGCTAACTGTCCTTCTCTGAACAAATTAACAAAAATTAACTAGTGGCAAATAACCCACAGGAGAGAAGCACAGTTCATGCATGGGAGTGACTGGGATGAGACAGACGTTTGTGAGTCTGGTTATGCCACAGAATCAGCTTCATCTACTCACTCTGCTAGCTGAGTAGGCAAAACCAGAACAGAAGACACTATGCTGTTGTTGTTTTTTCCTGGAAGTGAAGTACATCCAGGTGACAGTTTTTCATGAAATGCATCAAGGATAATGACTCTCTATATATGCTGTAATGTTATAAACAGTGGCCTTTGGTGAAGACCAGAATTCACAGTAACTTTTGTTGCTACAGTGGACCCTCTACTTAAGGAATTAATCCGTATTGGAACAGTGGCTGCAAGTCGAAAAGTCTGTAGGTTGAATCTCCATTGACCTATAATGCACTGAAAACCGATTAATCCCATAACCAGTGGTTTTTATTCTATTTTTATTCCATTTTGGTTTTTTTCTGGTCTGTAAGTCGATTCTCTGGCTGCAAGTCGAATCTAAATTTTGCAGCCAGAGAAGTCTGTAACTCGAAAAGTCTGTAAGTCGAGCCGTCTGTAAGTCGAGGGTCCACTGTATTATGTACTGTCAAGTCAAAACCAACTTAAAGGGCTCAGAATAGGGCTTTTAAGGTGAGTGAAATATTTAAAGAGTGGCTTTAACAGTTCCACACCCCCAGTGGGTTTCCCTGGCTGAGCAGCGATTCATATCCAGGCCTCCTGAATCCCTAGTACAGTACATCACTCTCTGCACTACACTACTTGGATCTAAAACTGAAGGATTCTTTGAATGTAAATTTTCTCTTTATTTGATTAACTTGACTTCTTCATTAATATCTTACTTCTCTTTCATGGAATTCAAAGTAGCAAAGATGAGATTCTGAAGGGGTTTCCCATGTCGTAATTGAACAGGCCTCGGACCATTAATCTTTCACTATGTTACAGCCCATGCTTGCACAACCCGTGCTTGGCTCTATTTTCAAGTGAGTTTCACTTTTCTTCAATAGTACACTTGCAGATATTACAATCAAGATTAATTATTCAAGCCAGGATCCTGTTCAGCTGAGCCACTCATACAATGATCCATCATTCTAGTGGTTTGACATTTTAAGAGTTTGCTTAAGGAAGTACTAAGCTCCTCCATGCACAAGGAGAAGCCCTGCCAGTTGAAATGGAGGATTTCCACTTCTGGTGTTCTAAAGAATTCCACCCACAGGATGACATTAAAATACTAGATGAATCTTTTGGTGACACTGAGGGTTTTGGATGCTGTCTCCACCTTGCAAGGGATTTGGTGCGGCTGTGATGCATATACTGTATAGTACAATTCACACTAGAACAATGATATGGCATAGTTCTTAAAAGGCTTGTCCTCCAATGAAAGCAATGCAGTTTCATGACCTGGTCCTATATTTCTCACACCATGATTGTGGATGTTCCACAGAGATGTCACTGGCTGCTGTGGAAAACAGGCTGTGGGTTCGATCCAGCAGCATTCTCCTTCTGTTTTTAGAAACGTAAAGCAAAGTGCAGAGAGAGCAAAGAAACAATATATCAACCTGAGTCTGTAGTCTACATTGCTATAACACGGAAGCTTTGCAAAGGCTTCATATCTCAGAATGAAGGTGAATACATTCTCAGCTCCAAATTCAATTCATAGAATTACAAGCCAGTTCCACAGCTTTTTAATTCAACCAGGAATGCTCTCCTCACAGCTTTTCCCTCTAACATTTTGAATCATCTTACGTCCAAGTGGATAACTGTTCCAGGCTTATCTTATAGATCAGCCCAAAAAAGGATGCTTCAACTTTAAGGAGGAAAATACACAGACCAGAAAAATAAATGAATGGAGTGAATGCATGAATGAACAAACACACAAATGAATGAATGAATGAATGCTTATGAGTAAAATCCTTTGAAAGGGCAGGCTTAACTTGCATACCGATCAGTTACACAAGAATTACAGTAATTATCGTCCTATTCTGTAACAATAAGTAATTACCATACAGCATCTGCACAATTGGTGGGCCAACTACAAAAGCAACAAGCTTGTTATCCTCTTTAAAACTCATTTCTAAACTATGTATGTGAAAGATTTTAGTACCAAACTGTACCTTCCTGTCACAATTCCATTCAACGTTTAGGCTTCTAATTGCTATCCAAAGCACTGATACTGAAATATCCATAGGGATTCTAACTGGACTCCTTTTCAGCTTTCCCCTGTAGCTTCTGTTATACTTGTAGAAGTTACTGTAGATACTGTGTTACACACTTTCCCACAGTTTGAGTAACTGAAACTAAGCAGATGTTAGAACAATCACAGGAGAGGGACATCACCAATATTTTCTTAAAATAATTTTGCATGTGCTTCAGGTTCAAAAATTATTCAGAATCTGGAACGAAGCAGGAGTACCTGTCAGTTTCTGAATTGATCTGAAGCAAATCAAGAGGCCCAAAGTAGCACTCAAATCCAGTTGATGCTTTCCCAATACATAACTTCAACACTTGGTTTAAAAAAGCAGATTTTTTTTTTAAAAAAAAGACATACTTAAGAGCCTGCAAGTCTGTCTCAGAAAATGCAATCAATCAATAAACAAATCAGGAAAATTAAAACAAAAAGAAGCTGAACCATCAGTTTAAAGTCCAAGCTCTCTTGGAAGCCCCAATCACAAAGCCTCCTGGAAGGTTCACATCAACCAGATAAATTCCCTCGTACCATGATTGGTGGCTATTTTACAACTTGGCAGAGTGAAGGAAGGCTCATAATCTGTTAAAGATGGTTTTCTGCATTGCTTTCATTTCCAATAAGGGAGTTATGCACCGGCAATATTTTCTTCTCTTTTAAGCACTTGTAGATGTCCACTTTTCATATTACGTTAGAATCCAGTCAAGTGCCTGTGTACATGAATGTGTCATGGATGTCATGAGTCTTGTTTGAAGGATATGAGTGCAGAAGGTTGTATTAGCATTAGGAATAGGAGCTAAGCCATCTTCCCCATGCTATGTTTATATTACACTTTTTATGCCTGCTGTTAACTTTTATTTTTGTAACACTTTGACACTTTCTTTTTCTTTTTGCTACGTGTGTCTGTGTTCCAGAAAGGCCAGGTGGCAAACATGATACACAAGACAGTGGTGTAGTACAGTGCAGATTTTAACTGTCTTTCTTATGTAACTTAACATTTTTGTTCAACAAACTTCACTACATTGCAAAGTTCCTGGCAGAGGAAGAGAAAGTGGAAGGAAGGAAACTGATCG